ACCCCCCCACCCCCAAATATAATCCACTCTGATCTTAGAGTTTTATGAGCTTACCCAGAAATGAGACCACTGTTAAAGTACCACAAAGTATAAATGAACGTTTTAATGCCACACTCTCTGCTGAATGAATCAGTATTTGAGCTCTATGATGAGACAGAAAATTAAAGCATGTTGTTTGCCGGGACACTGTGGCTTTATATTGATTGATGTGTAACAAGTTGATTTGGAACACTGGAATTTTATCCCCCCCCCCTTTTCTTTTGTAAAGGCAATTAACCAGACCCAGGAAGGTTCCTTCAAATCATATAAAATTTTGGTTTTTTAAATATTGTGGCTCTTTTCATAATTTTGTCTTGTTCTTCCAATTGGCATATAAAATTTTCAGAGCTCTTGTATTTGAAAGGCTAGTAGAGCCCAGATTTTTATAGTGTCTTGTTTTCACTTGTTTTGTTTTTCAGGTTTTTGGTTTTTCTTTTTAACTAAAGCTCTATAAAGAATGTGGATTAAACAGAATACATTTCTAAATTTTAAAAAAGATGCACTCAAAACTGCTTTGGAGATGGAAGAAATGAAGTAAATAGGAATTAATATCTATTCTTTGTCTCTAAACATTAGTCTCTTTGGCTTCAGAGGATGTTTTAACTCTCATGGACTTAGGCTCTTTGAGAAATAAATTGAGTCTGTCTAAAGGTTTTACTCTCCTCCTCATGGAGAGTATACCCAGTGGTCATTTGGGGCCCTCAGGAGGGGTTCTTTGACTCCACTTACTCACCATGTACCAGCAATCGGATAAAATAGCTCCACTCGCTTCCATTTTGCCTCACAGCTTTCAGGTAATAGGTATTGCTGTCCTTTGCTGTGACATTACAGATGGTCAGTATGCCATTGCTTTCAAGGGGGTACTTTTTCTCATTGATGTTTTTGAAGTATTCAGGTTTTTCCTTTGAGTTCAAATCCCATTCTACAATCTTCTGATTGCCATAACCCCAGGTGAGTTCTTTGTATTTTTTAAGTTCAAACGTAGGAATGTTCAGATGTACATTGCTGCCGGAAAGAGCATTCATCTCATGTGACGAAAGAGCTGTAAATCAGAGCAGAATTACAAAGTTAGAGAAAAGTGACAAACTTTAGAGAAAACAGTCAGGGTGAGAGGTGGAGGTTTTGTTGACTTTTCTTTCTAAAACTTGAAATATACTGGGATTGATTTTTCAATTTCATTTAAAGCTATTTTTATTCCTATTGATATTTTCAGATTTTGTTCTTTTTTTATGAGACTATTTAAAATTGCGCATGTTTCTGGTTTTTAAAAAAGCCATAAAAACAAAATAAACATACAAAACCCCTGGTTTGATTATGGCAAACAAAAGGGGGAATATTATCTCCAGAAGATTCAAGATGAAAGGAAGATTGCTGCTGCTTGTGAAGGAAAGAAAATGCACAATATAAATTATAGATAAAGGATAGTAGAAAGAGACTAAAGACAGAAGAAAGAAGTAAAGTTAACTATTTCACTGGTTTGGGGAGTTCTGGTGGCCTAGTGATAAGAAGCTGCGCTCCAATGCCAAAGTCATATAATTCAAATCCAGCAACAGTTCCATAGGATAGGCAATCTCCTCCTGTGTGATTAATTGCCTCTGAAAACCCACTGAACAGTCAGCTATGTGTCAGTTCTGACTTGATGGCACAAAACAACATACACTGTCACACAAATCTTTTTCTTTTATATGTATACATTTATATGTCCACTTCCTAAGCCACATGCCTATGGAAACGCTATAAACTTAGAGAAATGATGATAGCTAAGGAAAAGTATTAGGTCTTTTGTTCATAGAGTTGCTATGAGTTGTACTCAACTCTACAGCATCAACAATAACTTAAACACACACAGAGTCTTCACAATTATATGCCATACACCAGAGAGCTGGACAATGACTAAGGGTAATAGAAGGAGGATTGACACTATTGAGTTGTGGTTGGTGCTGGAGAAGAGTGTTTTACAGTCCGTGGGCTGCAAAGAGAACAAACAAGCTTGTCCTGGAGAGGATGCAACCAAATGCTCCTTAGAGGCAAGGATTTTGAAGCTCTGTCTCATATACTTCAGGCATGTTGCCAGGAAGGACCAGTCCTTGGAGAAGGACATCATGCATGGAAGGGTGGAAGGACAGTGCAAGAAGAAAAGACCCTGGATGAGATGGATTTGACATAGTGACTGAGATGATGGGATTAGGTGTGTGGGAGACAGTGAAAGTGGCTCAGAATAGGACAAGGATCAGACATATTGTGCATATAATGGCACATAACAACAATAACATGTATATTGTTACTGTCATTTGCTGTCAAGTTGGAATTAACTCAAAGCTGGCCCTCCAGCAAATTTTCAGAAGCAGAAAATTGAAGGGAGGAGATTGCACATCTTTCTCCCATGGAGCAACTAGTGGATTTAACTGCCGTGTTTTGGGGGGTTGGTAGCACAACTCCTTATCACTAAGCCACCAGAACTTCATCTATTACTGTTCTGTGCACCCAAGTCACCTACAACCCTATGTACAGCAGCTCTAAACTCTGCCCTGTCCTGAGCCAGTCTCACTAATTGTGACACACCAACTTCCATTGCCCCAGTTACTATATTAATCCATCTCATCTGGGGTCGACCTCTACTGCATTGTCTCTCCACCCTTCCAAGCATGCTGTCCTTGTACAAGGATAGGTCTCTCTTGGCCATGTGCCCAAAGTATGTGGGACAGAGCTTCAAAATCCAAGCTTCCAAAGAGAAACTTGGTTTCACTCTCTCCAATTCAGACCTATTTGTTTTCTTTGTGGTCCATGGTATGTTCAATACTCTTCTCCAGCACAATAATTTGAAAGCATCAATTCTTCTGTCATCCTTAGTTATTGTCCAGCTCTCTAATGTATAGCAAGGAATTGCAAAGACCATGGCCTGTATTATGCACACCTTATTCTGTAGACTGACATGGTTGCTTTTCAGCTCTCTGGAGAGGTCCAGAACAGTAGATTTCCCCAATGCAATTGTCTTTTGATTTCTCAACTGCTGATGTTAAGAATGTTTGTTTACTGTGGATCCAAGCAAGCTGTTAATTGTTAACAACCTCAGTCTCTTCTCTGTCTATTGTGATGCAGCAGCGAGGATCTTTGTCTTCTTGATGTTGAGCTTCAATCCATATTGAAGATGAAAATCCTTGACCTTCCATCACAGGACTCAGGGTAGTCATGAAAAGTTTTTTTATCTAATGTTCTGCTTTCTTGAGTGGGAAATTTTCCTGAATCATTAATGCTTAACTTATTCCTATTATCATTTGCTATAACTTTCTCATTTCTATATACTGGAAATACTATCATTTTCATAATTGAATCATTCACTTCTCTTTCTGTTCTATTTTCACAATTTCCCTCAGCCCATACAGAAAGTTCGCATATGATGAGTAAAATTCCTGATAATACAAACATTACAAAAGTCATTAAGGCCACCTAACATAGGAGGGCTTCACAGGAAGTTCCTCTAGACATTCCCCTTGGGGCCTTGCCACACCAAGGTTCACTCATCGCAGTCTTGCACATCGGTGAGCTGTCAGAGTTACATTCCTGCTCTGTTCACTGTTCCAAGAAGCTGCATGGCCACCTCCATCTACCCATTCAATATTTATTGAGCATTTACTATGTACCAGATACATATGCAGATACACTTGGGCATTCATTTCCACAGTGCTTCTAATTGATCAGTTTTGTATTTTATCAACCTTTTGATGCAATCAATTCAATAGAAACAACATCTTTGAACAATCAGTATGTCTTTGGCATTATATAAGGCTCTGGTATTGACAATAAGTAATACAGACACAGTTCCACTACTCTACTAGGACAGCCTCTTTGGAACTTTAAAACTACCAAGCTCATATCCCAGACATGTCCTCATTCTATTACTTATTTCCATGTTGTGTGGTAGTCCCACCCGTGCTGGTGAATGCCAGAACCACCAACATCACAGAGGAGTCTCGTAGGAGGTCAGAGGTGGGTGGAGGCCTGAGCCTCAAACAGGATGTGGCTAGGGGCAAGGAGAGGAAACTGAGCTGGATGCTAACAGAGCAGGGTGTGCATGGAAACAAGACACATGTGCTGAATGGGGCTGTCTTTTGGGGAAAATGCTTATCTGTCAACTATCATTCTAGAGTCGAGCATTGACATTTAGACAGACTAGGGAGAAGCATGGGCCACTCACTCATGAAATTATAAGTCTCTGAAAACTCTATGTACAATGGAGCACACTTAGAGTAGACCAGCAGTTATGGCACTGGAGTCAGATCCTTCTTACTAAGAAACAGACACTACTGATTGGAATGTGGAATGTGAGAAGTATGAGTGTAGGAAAATTGGTGATTTTTAAGGACGAAATGGAATAGATGAATGTTGACATAGACAACATTGGCAAAATGAAACAAGTTGGTATGGACGTTTTCAATCAGATAATCATATGGAAATGAAAAGGTGAGGAAAAATGGGTTCCACATTTATAATTAAAAAGATCATTTCTAGCTACATCTTGAAACACAATGTTGTGAGTGACAGGATACTACCCATATGCATATAAGGAAGGCCTGTTAATACCACTATCATTCAAATTCATGCACCAACAACCAGCGCCAAAAAGGAGAATAATAGATGGCCTAAATCAAGGTTTTTCAACCTCTGTCCTATTGACAATGTAAGCCAAATAAATCTTTGTTATAAAAGCTTTCTACACACTATAGAATGTTTAGGAGCATCCCTGGCTTCTACCTACTGGATTCCAGCAACATCTCTCTAGTGAGATGTCCAATATGTCCCAGATATTGTCAAGTGTCCCCAGGGGGGATCTCACCCACTTCATTTGAAAACCAGTGGGCTAGGTAACTGGAAAATTATCCAGCAGTCTCAGGCATATTATCTGTACAATAGCACAAACTGTAATTAGCCAAGCCATCTTTTTGTTTCTCATTAGAAGACAAAGGTAAAAGAGCTGCAATAGTGATGGATTCTATGAGTGAAATATTGAACAATATTGGAAGCAACAGAAGAAGATGGAAAGAATATTCATTGTACCAAAAAGAGTTGGCCAATGTTCAATCATTTCAGGAGGTAGCATATCACAAGAAACCAATAGAATTGGAGGGAGGATTACAGGCTGCACTGAAGGCATTAGTAAAAACTAAGTTTACAGGAATTGATGAATACCAACTTAGGTATTTAAATAAGCTGAAGAATCACTGTAGGTATTAATTTGTTTATGCCAAGAAATCTAGAAGACAGCTACCTGACCAGTACATTGAAACAGCTACCTGATTAACAAACTGGCACAAAATTTGCCAATTTAAAAGAACAGTGAGTTAGCAGAAGGCAGAAATTGAATAATAGTATCACTAACATCTTGTTGTTGTTGTTAAGTGCTGTCAAGTTGTAGACGACTCATAGAGACCCTATGAATGAAAGACCTGAACACATGTATAACGTGGTCATTTCTCCATGTTCATAGAGTTTCTGGAAGCATCACTCCTGCTTCCAACGTTGTTTTAAACTGGAAGCTCCACCAGACACTGTCCACCATGGATAACCATTATCACACTTGACACATTAATGTCATAGTGTTTAGCATCTGCAGATTAAAATCACCTACCTTTGGCTTGGTAGCATAACTTTCTATCCACTAGGCCAACATCTCTCTCTGTATTGTCGTTGTTATTGTTGTTGTTAAGTGACATTGAGTCGTAGAAGACTCATAGTGACCCTATGAATGAAACTTGTATAACACTTGCATAACTTTGGTTGTCTCTCCATGTTCATAGTTTCCAGAGGCAAGCCATTTCAGAAGTGGATGCCACTCCTGCTTCAACCTTGTTTTAACTGGGAAGCTCCACCAAACACTGTCCACCATAGGTAAATATTATCGCATTTGGCACATCAGTGTCACAGCATCACAACAACCACGAGTTACCTCTGTACAGCAATGCACAGACCACTTAGAAGAATGCTATACCACTTAGAAGAATGTTTGACAAAAAACAATTTAAACCAG